CATGATCCTGGGGTATGGGGTTGTTCCCCATGACCTGATTCACCGAGGGAACCTGCTGCGGATTCCCCTGGTGTTGATTGTAGTCTCCGTCCATCCTGTACTCTTCTTCAGAATCGCTACTCAGGTGGCCGTCTATGCGCTCTTCCGTAGCCAGTCTAGCTCGCTGTTGTCTCCTGAGCTGGCGACAGGTGCGGTCAATCTCTGAATTCAACGGCAGTAAACCTCCTGACTGGCTACGGGTCATGCACTACCTGCACACACCCAAGCAAGCAAACCCGTGAAGGCACAAGTGGGACAAAGCAAACAAAGCAAAAAGAAAAGCTAAATTAACAGAAATCACTTTTCTTCAACAACCTAGCCGTCCCCGGCAACGGCGCCAAAAACTTGACTCACTTCTACTGTCAACCTAGGAATTGGCCAAGTGAAACCACTTCCTAAAGTGTAGTATAGCGGGTTTAGGTTTAATTATCAACCCGGGTCCTAGATTTGATGACTACTTAGTGAATTCTTGTTATCTAGCAATGAAACTTTAATGCATGTTTAAACTAACAAACTAACAAAGCAAGTAAACTGTTGTATTCAGGTTAAGAGAGGTCACCCGGATATGGTTCCCCCTAGACTGCAGTTAAGCCGGATTGTAATTACCAAGTTCATTTTCTATGATAGTTATACTGCGGAAGGTTCTTAAACAGCCTGAAGTCTCGACTAAACGTCTTCGGACCCTCTCAATCTGAGTCTCTAGCGGGAGACTAACCTCCACCGGAGTAAACAGATTGAGGCCTTAACAAACAAAACCTCCTCTACCGTTACAGAATAGTGAGTTGGCTCCTCGACTAAAGTCACCAACTCCCTACCTTCAATCAAGGATGCTCTATCAACCTAGGCAGATATTCTCATTCTAGGTTAAAGCAGACACAACAGGAATTTGATCAGGATTCAAGTCATTCAATCATTCAAACCTCAATCGAATATAATCAAATCATAGAATCAGTACTTGGGTTCATACAATCAAAGCCTAACATACAAATCTAGGGTTCTCCATACCCAGATGAGTGGGAGAACTACTCCATGGAGAAAGAAGCAAAAGCAGAATCAGACGCGGAATTCATACTGTGAAGGATGGATTCCTGCTCCTAGACGTTGATCGGCACTTCTCCAAGCTCAAACTGGCCTCCAATGGTGTTGAAGATCAATCTAGGGCACTTGGAGACTCTTGTTCGTCGCTTTCTCTCTCTAGGAATCGTTCTCTCTCTCAAAAACTCCCATCCCCTTCTCTTTGGCTGAAAATCTGCTTAAAAAGGCATCACTGGCCAAAGCACGGTCGAGGGCACGGCCGTGCTTTGCCTCAGCCCGCCCGTGCTTTGGCTAGTGTTAATTACACGGCCAGTGCATTGGGAGAAACACGACCGTGCTTTGGGAGAACACGGCCGTGCTTTCAGCCCGTGTAATCAGCTCATGTTTGCCAAACTCGAATTAGCTCTCGGCAGTAAAAGCACGGCCACAGAACACGGCCGTGTTTTGGAGAGAACACGACCGTGCTTTGGGAGAACACGGCCGTGTAATGAATTAGGTGTGCCCGTGTTTTGGCTCCAGCTCGACGAAATGACTTCCGAATGCCCCGAAACTCGTGCTTAGCCTTTCCTTTGACGCCTGGGACCTGAAATGTGACAAAATAGCACAACCCGGCGTAAAATAGGCCAAAAGTACACGACTATGCCCCTCAAACGGATAAGAACTAGGGGCGCAAATATGTGCAATTACATTGTTATCACCCTCTGTGCCGCTCGTTTTGCAGGACTCCCCTCTCACACCTTCGCCGCTACCCACTTCAACCTCACCTCCAAATAAAAAGCTCAATGAGGAGTGGCGGCCGAAGCCGCGGGTAGCTAAGCCTGCTCAAAAGAAAGATGGAGACCACTATGAGCTGGTCCCACCTCCTGCACCACGACCACCCTGGACATCCGAGTACTCACTCGCCTGCATCTTGCCGGATGGCCAGGTTGAGCTAACCAATGCTGGTGGTTGCACCTGTCGGGTGCATGGCCACCATCTGAAGCTGTACCTCAAGAGCGATGTGGATCCGCTCTTGGAGGCACCTGTCCCTGCACCCCGCTGAGTATCCACCATGGGCGTCCAGCCAAAAGACGGTAAAGAAGCGCTTGTGGGATGGCAACCCCACCATGGTTTTCATTTATTTCTTTTGTTTTGGGCCGGATTGCAAACTGGTTTGGTTTTGGTTTGTTTTCTTTTGTTTTGGATGATGTATTATTGGGCTGGCCATTGGACCTAATGGATTGTGTTTGAGTTCTTCTGTTCCCTTTAGCTGTGCTTTGTTCCTGACTGGTCCCCTCTCCAATCCTCTTCACTCCTACTGGTCCGCTTCCAGTCTCATGTAGTTCGTGCACACCGGTAAAATCGTTCCCCTTATCCTTCCCTCTTCTCCATTGAGGGCAATGTCGATCTTAAGTGTGGGGGGATATTTCTCTTTTGACTACATTAGATCTGTTTGTGTGCTTGGAGCCTAGTCCACTGTCCAAATTTTTAAATTTGAGGGCTCCAAGTACGTATTTCCTTGCAAATTGCCTGCTCATTATGCTTTGAATTGACAGTCTCTATAGTAATGTGCAACCTAGGGAGTTAGTGTAGCCCTATGGAGGATGTGGAAGTATCAGATTTTTCTTATCTAGCTCTCTGTTGTGCCAGTTGATTTTGTGAATTAGTGGAGCTAAGACCGTTGAATTCATGTGGTAATGGTGACTCTAGTTGGATTGTGTTATGGATTCGTGTATCGAACAGGGTGCTCATGTGAAAAATGAAATGCAGTTGGTCCTCCATGTAGAAATCATTAAATCTTAAACATGGGGTAAGCCCAACGTGTGTGGCACCGTTCATTGCACAAAATCGGGTTTTGGAGGAGATTTTTGTGATCCTTAGTGGGCTACTCCTACAAGGTGAAGCTAAGCTGTCTCTAGTACAAGTAAAACTTCCACCCGTTGAACGGTTTGCCTACTTGAGGATGTGTTTTTAAGGGCACGGATAGAGCTTCCGACCCCCCTTAATTTCATTGACCCTCCACACAAGTTGAGGAAAAGGAGTTAAAAGAAGTACTCTGGCGAGCGCCAGATGTACAGAAATTGCTCTTGCTCGACTATTAAGGGTCGACCGTGCGAAAGACTGCAATTGGAACCCCCGCTAAGTGAATGAAAAAAGAAAAAAAAAAGTAAAATGGAAGTGAAAAGGGGGTTCCAACGGTGAAATGAAGTGAAAGAGCAGACCGGTATCACGAGTCCTTGATTGTGAATGGTGTGAGTCCCTTTATCCATGAACTGCTGTCTTACGTCCACTGCTTCTCATGATCCTGGCTTGAGTCTAGTACTCGCATTGAGAGAGATAGGAACGTCTTAGAAAACCAGTTGACCTCGTAAGCTGCTATATGATCTAGAAAATCCTCTACCGACGATCGGGGTTGCTTGTTGCTATAGAGGCCTGGAGAGTTGCATTGGTTTGAGTTAGGTTTACTTGGGGACAAGCAAACGGTTAAGTGTGGGGGACTTTGATAGACTGTTAATTGCTCATGTTTTTACCCGTATTCTTGAGCCGTTGGAGATGTCGATTCTCGCGTTTTAGGCCGATTTATTGCCAGGTTGTTCTTGTTTGTGATATTTCAGGTCCTAGTACGTGAATGAAGGTTTGGGTACGAGTTCGGGGTCGATTGGACGAAGATTGGACATGTGGCGCGAAGCTGATGGACCCACACGGGTCGCCTAAAACCTACACGGCCATGTGGCCTGGCCGTGTGGCACCAAATTGCACGGGCAAAGTCACACGGACCATGTAGGGGACCCCTTGTGGCCGTGTGGAAATTACAAGGAACTCACACGGGCATCCTGGAATTCCACACGGCCGTGTGGGTCGTGGCCGTGTAGGAAGCCTTAGTCACTTATCAAAACCCCGCGGTTTACACATCTCACACGGGCAGCTGGGGATGTCACACGACCGTGTGAGTCGGGATTTTCTGGGTTTTAACGCAATTTTCATCAAAGGAGAAAGGGGGTTCCGAGTTTTAGAGAGACAGAGCGATACCTAGAGAAAAAAGTGACGAACCTAACTCTGCAAGTTTCATAGATCGATCTCCATCACCATTGGAGCCCAGCTTGAGCTTGGAGAAGACCGGATTAAGTGCCAGAAGCAGATTATCATCCTTCACAGTATGGTTTCCGCATCTGAGCTAGATTTCCCATCTCTCTCTATGGAGTAGTTTTCTTATTCACCTGGGTATGAAGAACCCTAGATTTGTATGTTAGGTCTAATTGTATGAACCAAAGTACAGATTCATTGATATGATTATGTTCAATTGAGGTTTGATTTGTTGAATGGCATGAATCCTGATCAAATTCCTGTTGTTTCTGCTTTAACCTAGAAAGAGAATATCTGCCTAGGTTGATAGAGCACCCTTGATTGAAGGTAGTGAATTGGCGACTTTAGTCGAGAAGTCAGTTCACTATTTTGTACCAAATTTGCTTCGGTAGTGGAGGTTTGGTTCGTTAGGGCCTCAATCTGTTTACTCCGATGGAGGTTAGTCGCCCGCTGGAGACTCAAATTGAGAGGGTCTGGAGATCTTTAGTCGAGACTTCAGACTGTTTGAGAACCTTCCGCAGTATAACTATCTTTGAACTTGAACTAGGTGAATTACAATCCAGCTTAACAGCAGTCTAGGGGGAACCGTATCCGGGTGACCTCTCTCGACTTGAAAACAACCGTTTACTTGCTTGCTTGTTTGCTTGTTTGGACCTGCATTAAAGTTTCACTGCTAAATAATAAGAACTCACGGAGTAGTCATCACATCTAGGACCCGGGTTGACATTAAAACCCAAACCCGCTATACTACGCTTTAGGAAGTGGTTACACTTGGCCATTTTCTAGAGTGACGATAAGAGCGAATCAATGATAGCTAAGCGGAAACCACGCACCCAAAGGAGGGAACAGGAACAACAAACCGCCAAGAAAGGGACGAACGAGAGGGGAAACCCGGGGGCAGCTACAACCAAAACCGCGGGAACCATGGGTTCCCGTTTCAATGCTCTATCGGGGGATCTGTCACCGGAGGATAGCACCGACACAGCTAATAATGCTACTATTCCTTCTGGCATAGAGCAACAACAGAGAGTCCGAACAGGCGCAACTAAATCAACCCACTCGGTGGCAACTAATAATTCTGGGAAAGCCACTGTGGAGAAAAAGAAGGAGAAGATTAGAGAGGTTCCTAAAGATAGCACTAGGGAGAAGAGCATCTTGGGAAGCAAGAAATCGGCAACTCTCAAAGCTACGGAGTCAACGCCTAAGGATTTTCCCTATCCACTGTCATTCTCAAAGGAAAAACATATTACCCATGCAAGCTCGTCCAATGGCGGGGAACAGTTGCATTCGGTTGCGACGACGTCACCTGTCTTGGCCACCCAAACCGGGGCCAACGAAATGCTGGCAAGGGATGTGCGACCGGGGAGGCCACCGAACGAAGCTCCAATGGAGGAACATCCTAGTGAGGGCGAAATGGTGATTCAACTGGAGCGCAAGGATGGGGCTAATGCTAGCCCTATCTCCGAGTAAACCAGGGAGTCTCTCTAACCTCTACGTACTATCATGGATTTAAAAAAAATTCTTGGAATTGTAGAGGTGCTGGTGGGCGGAAATTTATCCGCGCGTTTAAAGAGTATTGGAGGATTCACAAACCCAATATTGTGGTGATTGTAAAGCCGCGCATAAGCGGGGATACAACTACTAAAGTGATTGGGGAAATGGGTTATGATAGCAAATTGATTGTGGAGGCTATGGGGGTTGCGGGAGGGATTTGGGTTTTATGGGATTCAGCTGTTTGTAATCTAACTCAGATCGATGCTCACGCCAGTTCTTTCATGCGCAAGTTAACATTCCCAGAGGGACGGGAGAGGATTGGCTTCTTACCGCAGTGTATTCCAACCCGGCCCCGATGTAGAGAAGAGAGCTATGGCATTACATTCGGGAGATGGCGGCTGACCAGAATAAGCTTTGGATTCTAGGTGGGGACTTTAACTCCATCCTCCACCCGTGTGAGAAATTGGGAGGGGCAGACTTTGACGCAACCAGAATAAGAGACTTTCAAGATTGTGTCAACGATGCTAGACTATCGGACCTGGGGTACAATGGACCCCCTTCACTTGGTTCAAAAGGGGGCTTCGGGAAAGGCTCGATAGGGCGTTGGTTAATAACGTGTGGGCGAACTACTACCCGGAGACTGCAGTCAGACATCTTCCTCGTATCAAGTCAGATCATAGACCTCTGTTAATTTCGACAATGACGCCCCACCATCCGGCAGGGCCTAAACCGTTCAAATTCCCGGCTGCCTGGTTGACACATGAGGACTTCGAGAGAATGTTGAATGAAGCTTGGGCTAATGGTTCAAAATTCCACCAATCCGCGGAGTCCTTTGCCTTGGATGCAGCCAAATGGAACTTTGAGGTTTTCGGTCATATCCAACGTAAGAAAGAGTCCCTTCTTCGACGGCTCGATAGGTTGGAGAGGCGGGATGGGGGTCTGAACAGCTCTCCTCAACAAGATCAGGTTCGAGACCAAATTGAGCTCATTCTTTTCCTAGAGGAGTTGTTGTTGTGTCAGAAAGCAAGGCTGGAGTGGATTGCCTCAGGTGACAGGAACACAAAGTATTTTCATCGACATACTATTCAGAGAAGAAAGAGGAACCACATTCTCTCTCTCTGAAGAATGAGGCTGGCGAGTGGGTAGTAGAAGAGGCCGAGCTCCAAGCTATGGCGTTGGAGTATTTTTTGGGATTGTTTACGGACGAGGGGGATGAAGTTGAGACCTTAATGCACAACTTCCCGCCAATCGACACTGCTCGTGTTGCTAGCTTGGATGGAGTTCCCCATACTACCGAGTTGGAAGGGGTTATCCGCCAGATGGGGGTGTTGAAAGCCCCAAGGAAGGATGGCCTCAACCCCCTTTTCTTCCAAAAGTGATGGTCACCTGTGGGAGCATCCATTACTTTCTTGGCCCAGGACTGCTGGATTGATCATGCAAAAATCAAAGAGATTAATTCTACTATCCTAGTGCTCATTCCGAAAGTGACGACACCATTAAAGATTGACCAGTTCCGGCCTATTAGCCTCTGCAATGTTGCGTACAAGGCCTTGACGAAGTGTTTGGCAGAGAGATTGAAACCCCTGATGCCCGCCTTAGTTCATGAGACACAGACTAGTTTTGTCCCCGGCCGCCATATTACGGACAATATCTGCATTCTCCAGGAAGTTATCCACTCAATGAGAGCTAAGCAGGGAAGGAAGGGATGGAGGGTACTGAAAATTGATCTTGCCAACGCATATGATTGAATCCGGTGGGACTTCGTACGCCAAAACTTGGAAGCTACGGGTGTCACTCAAGGATTCATTGATATTACTATGGCCTGCATCACCACCTCCACAATGCAGATTCAATGGAACGGGGGTCTGACAGGCGAGTTTACTCAGCCACGAGGACTCAGACAGGGGTGCCCTCTCTCCCCCTACATTTTTACTCTGTGCATAGAAAGATTAGGTCATATTATTAATGAGTCTGTCAGTAATGGTGAGTGGAAGCCGATCAGGCTTACCAACGCATGACCAGAACTGTCGCATTTGTTTTTTGCAGATGACCTGATCCTGTTTGGCGAGGTGCTACGAGGTGCAACGAAGCCTATATGACGAAGATAGCTTGGAGGTTGATTACAAGTCCGAACGAGCTGTAGGCTAGAGTTATCCGCTGCAAATACCTGCGAGAGACAGCATAAGGGATAGATATTCATTGAAGTGGAAGGCTCTCGAACTTGTGGAGAGGAGTTATTAGGGTCTGGGGAAAAATTGAAGCAGCCACGACTTGGACCGTCCGAAATGGGAAAAAGGCGAAATTTTGGAGAGATAGATGGTAGGGAGACAGCGAACCACTCGCTAACTTTGCACCTACTCTCCCGCGGAAATGCTCGATCGTCCCATCGTTGATTTCGTGTTGAATGGTAAGTGGAACTCTCAGTTTTTGAACTTCTACTTACCGCAACATATTGTTTTGTAGGTGGAGCTGCATCCCGTGCAGCATGAAAGCGAAGATGACTCTCGATGTTGGAGATTATCAGAGAACGACGAGTTCAATTTCATATCAGCATACGACCTGACTAATGACGATGGCCAGTAGCATTCTCACCACCCCATCTGGCGTGCCCTTTGGAGAGTACCCTCAATGCAACGGGCAGTCTCTGTGGCTGGCGGCTCGACAGCGGCTTCTTACAAACGCGGAAAGGCATCGTTGCCACCTCACTATCAATCCGAGCTGCAAGATTTGCGGAGGACAACCTGAAACCATCACCCATGTGCTCAGAGACTGCCCGTTCACTAGAGCAACCTGGGCGGAGCTGTGAATGGACGAGCCGGACGATAAGTTCTTTGAATCGGACCTGCACCGCTGGCTCCACTACTAAATTACTGGTAGGAGCTCCAAAATTGATGCTACACTTTCTTCGGTCACTTGCTGGCTTTTGTGGAAGAACAGGAATAGCTTCTGTTTTGAGGGGGAGTTGCAGACCTATGCACAAATCAAGTACCATTCACTTCAACTACGGCAGCAGATCACTACTGCCTTCGAGAAGGAGATTTCCGTCGTTGGTGATGGGGGACACCTACATATTCGATATATCAGCTGGCAGACACCACCACCCGACTGGGTGTGCCTGAATACGGACGAATCTGTTCGTCACTCTCCTTCCAACACGGCTGCAGGCGACATCGTGAGGGGAGGCGATGGCCGTTTCATCAAAGCCTTTGCGGTGAATCTTGGGGGAGGTTCCATTACCCGTGCAGAGCTGGCTGGTATTGTGCATGGTCTAAGACTCACCTGGGAAACTGGAGCTAGGAAGGTTCTTCTACAAACATACTCAGCAGCAGCTGTGAGCATCATCGAGAAGGCAACACACCATCATCCGCACTTCACAGCGGTTGCGGAAATCAGAAGCTGGTTAAGTAAAGACTGGCAAGTTAAGATACAGCACGTCTACAGAGAAGCCAATGTTGTGGCAGATCATCTTGCTTCCATAGGTCATATTTGGCCTATTAGTTTACTTGTTTTTGATAACCCGGACAGTACTTTAGCCTACTGGTTGTATTATGATGTCATTAGGGTTCAACCCCCTAGTGCAGTTCATGAATAAAGGTTGGACCGCCCTTTAAGCGCTCCGTTTCACACACAAAAAATTTTCATTTAATTTTTAGTGAAACATATATCGGTTACCAATTCATTGTCCACCTTTTCAAAAGTAACATATAGCAACATATTAGAACCGGGAAACAAAGAATTACACGTTCCATGAAAAGGTTAAAGGAAACTAGAACACAAGAAAGGGTATAAAAAATCTAACTCATGTTTTCACATTAATTGAATATTTATATTATTTATTTGTTGTTAATTAATTGATTATTTTTAATGTACAATAGTTAAGTGTGAGGGCAACGTTGGAATTTTAAAAGTTCATGAGGGTATATGGGTAAAAGCCCATCATGGATTTATGGCATGTTACAAATCCCACATACAAGTCCGTGGGATCCACGAATTTGAACCCTTAAAATCTGTGGGCCCCACGGATTTGGTCTCTAAAAGAAACGAAAGCAAACGATGGATTTTCGTTAAATCCATGATGAAATGGATTTAGGTACCAAATCCATTATCTAAATTCATGAAGCAAACGATGGATTTTCGTTAAATCCATGATGAAATGGATTTAGGTACCAAATCCATTATCTAAATTCATGAAGCAAACGACCCCTTAAGAATGGATTTGAGGGATATTTAGGCCTCAAATCTAGTCCATCATGGGTTTGTGTTAATTCCATCGTTTGATTAATAGATTGTGAAGTATCAAATTTATTGATCCCACGTATTTGCAAATGTTAATTCCAAAGGTGGGAATTGGGTATGGAGCACATATTCATGAATCATGATGATATATTACACATATATCGGTTATAACTTTCATATTTCTCACACTACAAATCATCCAATAAGGGCAATAGTGTAAATTTCGTACCCACAAAGCTAGTTAAACCAATAATCATCAAATTCAACAACCAAATCATATATTTTCCAAATCGTTCTGCAGGGTGCTCTCACCTTTCAAGCTGCAGGATTTTGATTCCGATCTCGAATTGAAGCCGACGCCGAAGCATCAGCTGGATCATGTGTACCAATTGATCTCGCGGGAGAGGAACTGAATGGAATTAACAATAAAAATAAAAGACTAAAACATCAATGATGTGGAAGACAAAGGTAATCGTGGTACGGCTACTATGATGCAAAAGGAGCCTAAATTGGCTAAGTATCCAGTTGTGGAGGATAGCCCGAAGTGGATGGGGTCCTCGGATAATCCGTTCATCACCACTGAGCATCGTGCCACCAGCAAGAAAAGGAGTCCGGCTCGTTTCTCGGTCTCTAAGGTACCCAAAATTTCCTTGGGGAGACAGGGGCGTCGCGGCAAGGGGAAGACCTATTCTGTGGTCAGTCCGATGGAAATTGGCGGGGCCCATTTTCTAGCCCAAGGTCTGCGTCGGACAGGCATGAATTCTAAACCGTCACGGGCCACTGCTAGGGGTGCTCTCGCGG